CTGGTAGGGGGCGGGGGGGGAGGGGGGGGGGGGAGGTGTTCATTGACCCATTGTGATGGTTCGGGGTGCGACCGTTGAAGTTCATAATCATTTGGAGCTATGTACAGTAGAGTTCTGTATAATGGGCGAAAACGTACCCCTGGAAGGGTTCAGGGGCATTATTGTGGTAATAGTGACGGTATATCGCCTTTCCAAAAAACATCGATGTTTCTAACGAAAGCTCTTCGTTGGAAAGTTAGTATTCCCGGAAGGGCCTTCGCTTGAATCACGTACAGAAGTTTCTTGTACCCATACGTTGATGATCATGATGTAATTTTCTGTATGGGAGTAATTAGTTAAACACTAACTTGTAGAAGTTTCTTGCGAGTAGGAAACATGGCTAAGAAATCATACTGAGCGAACTTCTCCACTATCAATTGATGACCAAGTATTGCAAGTGGTATGCTAATTTCTAAAATAAAGGGAAATAATAAATAATTAATACATCCCGAACGCGTTTCACATATTTGCAAATACAATCTATGCTTTACATGTGTGGATAGCTTATAAAACAGAACTGTATATAATACCTGATATTTGAGAACTAAGTTGAATATCTTTCATTTTCTCCCCATCTTCAAAAGTAACATCCAAATCAAGCGTTCTGCCCAAAAATACAAACTTGAATCTTGTTTCGTCGTGTTTCTCTAACACCCACTCTTGAAGACTGGATTAAAATAAATAAACAACCGGCACAATTGTAGGACTCGAGTCTCACTGAAAACATTACACTTCAACTTAAATTTCTAGTTAAGCTTATCTTGTACTGCACTGTACTGGGGTCGGTTGTAGTGTTTTTTTTTCAATCGTTACCTACGACCTATTTACAGTTAACAAAAGTAATGAACTTACGCCGTTTGAAAAGGGAGAAACTTTCGAATCTCTTCGTCTTTCGATTTGCGGAGTGTCTGAAACCACAACAAAAACATAAAGACTATCATTAAAACCGAGTTCAACCAGTCAAGTGTCACAGTATATACAGGGTGTTAGCTAGCCCATATACTGTCCGTTTGATGGACTCTTCTAGCTAAGGGGCTTTCCCAACTGGGTCTACTGGAAGATTTTCATTTTTTTCTGATGAGAAAGTGCAATGCGTTTGATTTTATATTATCATATCAAAGAACGTTTTATTTACTTTTTCCCATTAACTATTTTCTCAAAATGCATCGCGTTTCATTCATATCGGGTGTGTATTCACTGAAATGAAATGTACAAAACAAAGTGCAATCGGTGTGCATCCGTGTTCATTCACCGGGAATAAAATATACAAAACGAAGTGCCATCGGGTGTATTTCTCAGTGTTCATTCACCGGAAATGAAATGTACAAATTAGCTACCGTACTTGTTTGCATCTAAGGAGAAACACGTTGGAAAAAACACTATTTATTCCTACACAAGGACTTTGATCGGTCAAAAAAACTTTCCCAATTTACAAAACTTTTTTCTGGCTAACACCCTGATATAGAGGTGCAATTTACCTTCTCCTCCGCCAGCTTCTCGATAGCGCTCTCAAGATCTGTCGTCTTTCTCTTCTGCTCAGCAATCTCTGATGTGAGAGATTCTTTTACACTGAAAATGGTAAGCAGAAAGAGAAAAATAGTTCACTACGAAAAGATTTTTAGGATAATACCATTGTAGGATTGAAGTAGAAAGACTTCGTGGACTTTTGTATAGATCATAATTCAGTCACCGCAAGAGGTCTCGCCTAGTAAGACAATTTGCGTTATTTCTTACCTTGATAAGCTGGCACGTTCTTCTTCCTTGGATTTCAATTCTAATAAACGCGCAATAAAAACAGTGTTAAAGTTTATTCACATAGACATCAGCAGACCTTTCCAGAAACTACACCATGCATCGCATATACACCTACCTAATTCCATTGTTTCAAGCTTGCGTTTTAATTCGTTAGTATCTTCGACGTATTCAGCCCATTCCTTAAAATTTACACAAATGATACATGTGAATTGGCGAGTTCCTGCACGCACTATCGTTCACAGATGGCGGACCACCTGCAGTTATCAGAGTGAGAAATGTTTTCACATTCTCATCTACGTACCTTTTCTTCTGATCCTAATGTTGCCTCCAACTCCAGGATTTGTTTATCGCAATCAGCTTCCACTAAAAAAATTTTTCCCACTCATTTCAATTTACCTTAATGAAATCAATGGTAACACCGACATACCTAATCCAACTACAACTTAAAGGCATCAACTATTTCGCTGACCCCAGAATGACATTTCGTCAAAACTTTTTTCTTCAAGATTGGTTTACAAACAAATTTGGAGTAGGGTTAGGTTAGGGTAAGGATTAGGGTTAGAGTTGGTGTTTGGAGTAGGATTAGTGTTAGTAAAACCGTTGCGTTGTTGCGTTTTGTCACTCTGAGGCCAGCGAAATAATCTCTTCCCAACTTAAACTATAGATCCATGCATTACTGATCGCTATAGCTCTGCATATAATAATTTACGTGGTGTTTCCACAACCAAAACTGATAGATTCATTCCTGGGGCCGGTTGTTCGAAAGCCAACTAGGTTTAGCACCCTAAAATTCAAAGCAAACTTTCCAACAGCTTGTTAATAAATTTGAACAAAAACTTCTTCAGAAATGTTGTCTGGATCAGTAGGGGTCTTCTTCTCTGAAGGTTTGAAATAAACAGACGTGCAGAAATACAAAAACTAAAACAGCAGATTAAATTTTAACCGAGGAGCAAAGAGCACACACGTCTCTAAATGCCGAGTTCAATCACGCACCTTTATCTAGCATGCTGATGTCTTCATCTAATTCACTTTTATGCTTATTGATAAGAGACAGCTCAGAGGACAGCTTTTTTTCCTGTTGCTGAAGTTGAAGAAAGACGAATCATCAATAAATGTATCCAGGTATATCTTTTGACAACTCGACTCTGTATATAACTTATTTTATACCTGAAGTGAAGCTAAGATATCCTTGCGCATCTCTTTCTTTCTGTTGTACAATAAACGTTTGCCTCTAGTTTCACCAGTCCTTTTCAACCGCATTATTACGTCCACGACAAGATCCTAAAATTTCGAAAATATATGTGTTTAGGAGGGTGGCTTTACACGCCAAAAAGGACAAACCAGTGATGACATTGTGGTGAGTGATGAAGTTCCTAGTGTAAGGCCGACTAACTTTCTAATGGGTTCGAATTTAGGATCTCGGAAACGTTATTCTCAGATACTGATTATTCTTAACGCTTTTATGATTATACGTATGTCAAGTCAGCATTTTACAGATATATAACCTGCTGTACAAATACAGGATTCGCAATAGAATTTAAAGCAAGGGGCTTTTTGAATGAAGCACCTGAATTTTTGAGCAACTTTTTTTCATTCATTCATATTTGCAGGCTTCCCAATAAAAACCAAGCCCCAGCGATTTCCGCCGTCTGTAGCTAAGACAATCGCCGGTTGTTTCTCGAAATTATATAACCCAAAATATTTCCTCCTTATAACAGAAATGTCAAGGGAAAGGTCATGTTTGGATAATATGACACAATCTTCAAAATCGCTGGAAATACCATTATAGAGGTTCATAATATACACGGGGAGACGCCCACGGACGCCACCCCCCCCCCCCCACAGGGGAGTGGTATCTTCGACATCACTGCTTCACCACATCACCTTACACATGCAGCCTTGTCAAGTGAAGTCCTGTTCTAACTCCTTCTAAATTTTTCCGACTTCTCACCTCGTTCTCAGTTCCCAGAACTTTCATTAATTTAGCAAACACAGGAGGATTGTTGGCGTCCAGTTCTTTCGCTTTGGCAGCAAATAATTTCTCATTCCTTCAAAAATATTTACAATTATTCAAGAAAAGCTATTACAATTACTAATGAATATTTACCAATTTATTAATTATTCATGAAGAAAAGACAAAGGACACCGTTGTCAAAGGATATCGTGTGTAGTTTTATAAGTGATAAAAAAATCATGTTCATTTACATTAACTTTAGTTTTGATTTTCTCGGCTTAGACAATGTAATGTTTATTTTTAATAAAATTACTACGCCAATTAACTCATCAGATGGGTCGTTTTTTAAAACACTCGCAGTCAGTGCTATATCACATATAACTAGACACTCGAGCTGCGCTCTCGTGTTTTATATCTGATAAAGCACCTCTGCTCGTGCTTTAAATAGTACTTAAACCATTTATATACATATAATTGCAGGCTTTTTGGAGTATGAATTTTTAATATGTATTGACTTTTCCTTGCAACGTATACGATAACGAGCTCTAAGTCGAATATCTGATTCATGAAAACGATGCTCTATATAGCCATTAAGGCCGTGTATACTTTCCAGAAGGGCGTATTTTAATTCTCCATTTTAAATTTGTCATAATATTATAAGATGCAAGATGGTCTTTTTAAACATTAAATTCAAACCTATTTTAACGGCGATATACATTTCATACCAAGACAGATTCTTTTTAATTAAACCTCGAATGAACGAGCTATATGTTCTTGTGGTTCACCAAAAAAAACAACTTGGCGTTTCTAATTCAAAACTCGCAGGCAAGCGCTATAAAATGTCGGCGACAGCTGGCACCGGGCTCCTTTTAATTAACGCAGTATAAGCACATGCTAAACAATGTAATCGATGCATATTTAAGACAATTTGCGTATGTATAGTATACTACTTAAAACGCGCACGACATATCTCTTTATCTCAGTTCAAGTTGAACGCGTGCAGTTTACATTAGGCAGTCACAAACATAAAATGGAATCGTATATGATAATTAATTTAATATTCTTATGTGTTGTGAATGGGCTCTTCACATTTGCTGGAATATTTCTCAATTCAATGGTTATCATTATTTTGTGGAAATCTCCGCAACGTCGCAGAGGAACCTGCCATTTTATGATATTTGTGCTGTCGTGTTTTGATCTGCTTGCGATCATAGTTGCGCATCCAACGATAATACTGTTATCTGTTGCCTTGGCTTTTGAAAAAGACACTGTGTCACAAATAGGGAGGATTTTAAAAGAAGTGTACCTAATTTTGCAAATATTAGAGGTTTGTGTATTATTCTCAATGAACCTCGATCGATATCTTGCCGTGGTGCATCCTTTCTTTTATCAAGCCAGGATTACCAAAGGACGGATTGTTAAATTTATGATCTTTACACAACTAATATTTATTGTTGTACCATTAATGCGTCGCATCTGTTACATGAAGAAGTTGATATATATAATCGGAGCAATGACTATTGTTCTCATATTGTGTATGATATGTTTCATGAACTACAAAATCTTTGTGATCGCTCGAGACAAAAGGCGAGCCACACATGGCAGCACCATTGAATTCAATAGAAACTCAACATGTGTATGGGTTATTGCGTGCTTTCTTATTTGCACCATTCCAGCTATTGTATTCGGTGCGTTCAAGTTCGGCGCGTCAAATGTTATACGAAATGAGAACTTTTGGAGGGCATTTCGACTTTGGTCATCTACAATAGCAACAATGAATTGCACATTCAATTGCGTCATTCTCTTCTGGAGAAATCGATTTCTCAGGCGCAAGGTAAACTAGTAGATATTGTTGCAGAAATATACTGTTTCCTAACCAAGTCTCCTGGAGATGGTAAACCATGAAACATGCACATTGCTGCGGAAAAAGTGTTTGCTAGCCATGTTTCTCAAAGGTGGACAAAACCAGGGGATACTTGAGAAACATTTGTCCGTAGAAAAAATACTTTTTTTGACTTACTCAGCAATTCCTTTCTGTAGCTGTTGAGCATCAGAAAGATATTGTGATAAAGAATCATGAGATAAAAAATCGTGTTCATTTACAAAGACTTTAGCTTTGATTTTCTCGGCTTCTAGACAATGTTTATTTTTTAATTACTTCGCCAATGAACTCATTAGATGGTTCGTTTTTTAAGCCATTTGAACACTCGCAGTCCTTGTTTTAGCAAATATAAAACACTAGCGCACTCCTGCTCGTGGACTTATTGGGATGCTATAGCTATAGAAATTATAGCTATAATAAATTTGCAACTTTTAATATGTATGGACGTTTCCTTGTAACATATAAGATAACGAGCTCTAAACCCAATATCTGATTCATGAAAACGAGGCTCCATGGCCAAGACTGTGTACTTTCCAGAAGGATGTATTCTAACTCGCCATTTTAAGTTTGACAGAATGTCATTAGCAATCTCGTACCCAGGCTCTTTCCACTACGCTCCTCGCTGGAGGGAGGAGCGTAGTGGAAAGAGCCTGGGTACGAGGTTATGTCATAAGATGCCGAAATTCAAACATATTTTAACGGCGACATACATTTTATATCAAGACAGATTCTTTTTAATTAAACATCGAATGAAAGAATTATACATATATTCTTAGGGTTTACCAAGAAAAACTTGGCGTTATATACGTTTCTCAAAAAAAGCGTTATAAATGTCGGCGACAGCTGGCACCTGGCTCCTTAATAACGTAATGTAAGTACATGCTAAACAACATAATTGATGCGTGTTTAAGACCCTTTTACAGTACGTACTCAAAATGCACACGCTTTATTGGACAAGCAGCAATTTATTAATATTTTTCAGACATCTCTTCATCTCAGTTTAAGTGTGAAGCGGTATAATAAGGCATACAGTCCCAAACATAACATGGAGTTGTATATGTTAATTAATTTAATATTCTTATGTGTTCTAAATGGTTTCTTCACATTCGCTGGAATATTTCTCAATTCAGGGGTTATCATCTGTTTGTGGAAGTCTCCGCAACTTCGCAGAGGAAACTGTCACTTTATGATATTTGTGCTGTCGTGTTTTGATCTGCTTGTGATCATAGTTGCACATCCAACGATAATACTGTTATCTATCCCAAGCTTTGAAGAAACCACTGTGTCACAATTAGGGACGATATTAAAAAACATCTATATAACTTTACAAGCATTAGAGTTTTGTGTATTATTAACAATGAGCCTCGATCGATATCTAGCGATAGTGCATTCTTTCTTTTATCAAGCCAGGATTACCAAAGGACGGATTGTTAAAGTTATGATCTTTATTCAACTACCAACTCTCGCTACACCAATACTGCGTTACTTGTGTCGTGTATCACACATGCAGATGATGTACATATACGTAATAATTAGTGTGGCTCTTATTTTCTGTATGTTATGTTACATGAACTACAAAATCTTTGTAATTGCTAGAAACAAACTGCGAGCCACACATGGTAGCACCATTGAATTCAAGAGAAACTCAACATGTGTATGGGTTATTGCGTGTTTTCTTATTTGCATCATTCCAGCTATTGCATACAATGCGCTCAAGTTCGGCGCGTCAAATGTTATACAAAATGAGAACTTTTGGCCCACATTTCGACTTTGGTCATTTACAATGGCAGCATTGAATTGCACATTCAATTGCGTCAATCTCTTCTGAAGAAATCGATTTCTCAGGCGCAAGATAAACAAGTAGATATTTTTGCAGAAATATACTGTTTCCTGACCAAGTCTGCTGGAGATGGCAAACTATGAAACATTGGCATTGCTGCGGAAAAAGTGTTTGCTAGCCATGTTTCTCAAAAGTGGACAAAACCAGGGGATACTTGAGAAACATTTGTCCACAGAAAAAATACTTTTTTTACTTACTCAGCAATTCCTTTCTGTAGCTGTTGAGCATCAGAAAGATATTGTGGTAAAAGATCAAGTTCATTTATCGTATTTACTCGATTGAGCGCCGCCCCCGATTGAGTGCCGCTCCCGAATGAGCGCCGCATTTGAGATCAATTTTTTTTTTAAAGAGCGCCGCCCCTGAATGAGCGCCGCACTAAACAGCGTAAAAACTTTCCGCCGTCAAAATGAGGACATTTAGTGACAAAAACCTTTTAAAAAACTTGTTTATTTCATTGTTAAAAGTTCTTTTTATAATTCACAAATAAAAGATGTTTTAAAGAGCGCCGCATCTGAAGCTGTGAAAATTTAAAGAGCGCCGCGGCGCTCAAACAAGTAAATACGGTACATGAACTTCAGCTTTGATTTTCTCGGCTTGACAAGGTTTATTTTTAAAATTACTTCGCCAATGAACTCATCAGATTGGTCGTTTTTTAAGCCACTTAAACACTCGCAGTCCGTGCCTTATCAGATATATCGCTGATATCAAATATATCGTGTTATATCACTCCTGCTTGAGTTTTAAATAGTACGTAACCATTTACATATGTTTGTAGGCTTTTTTGGTGTATAATTTATGGACTTTTAACATGTATGGACGTTTCCTTGTAACATACAAGATAACGGGCTCTAAGCACAATATCCATTTCATGAAAATGAGGCTCCATAATTTCAATTCTCCACTCTAAGTTTGACAGAATGTCATAAGCAACCTCGCTGGAGGGAGGAGCGTAGTGGAAAGAGCCTGGGTACGAGGTGGTGTCATAAAATGCCAGGTGGTGAAATTCAAACATAGTTTAACGGCAAGATACATTATATATCAAGACAGATTATACATTTAATCAAACCTCGAATGATATACATATATATTATTGTTATATATACATGCATATATATTATTGTAGTTTACCAAGAAAAACTTGGTTTTTCTAGTTTAAAAAAGTCGCAGGCAAGCGGCTGTGAATGTCAGCGACAGCTGCAGGCACCTGGCTCATATTTAACGCAATGTAAATACATGCTAAACAACATAATCGATGCGTGTTTAAGACCCTTTTACAGTACGTACTCAAAATGCACACGTTTTATTGGACAAGCAGTAATTTAATAATATTTTTCAAACATCTCTTCATCTCAGTTTAAGTGTGAAGCGGTATAGGCATACAGTCCCAAACATAACATGGAGTTGTATATGTTAATTAATTTAATATTCTTATGTGTTGTAAATGGGTTCTTCGCATTCGCTGGAATATTTCTTAATTCAGGGGTCATCATCAGTTTGTGGAAGTCTCCGCAACTTCGCAGAGGAAACTGTCATTTTATGATATTTGTGCTATCGTGTTTTGATCTGCTTGTGATCATATTTTCACATCCAACGATGATACTGTTATCTATCCCAAGCTTTGAAGAAACCACTGTGTCACAAATAGGGACGATATTAAAAGACATCTACATATCTTTACAATTATTAGAGTTTTGTGTATTATTGTCAATGAGCCTCCATCGATATCTAGCGATAGCGCATCCTTTCTTTTATCAAGCCAAGATTACCAAAGGACGGATTGTTAAATTTATGATCTTTACACAACTAATATCTATCGTTGTACCATTAATGCGTCGTATCTCGCACAAGAAGGAGTTGACACATATAATCGGAGCAATAATTATTGTTCTCATATTGTGTATGACATGTTTCATGAACTACAAAATATTTGTGATCGCTCGAAACAAAAGGCAAGCCACACATGGCAGCAGCATTGAATTCAATAGAAACTCAACATGTGTGTGGGTTATTGCGTGCTTTCTTATTTGCATCATTCCAACTATTGCATACAGTACGCTCAAGTTGGGCGCGTCAAATGTTATACGAAATGAAAACTTTTGGTCGACATTTGGACTTTGGGCATCCACAATAGCAACAATGAATTGCACATTCAATTGCGTCATTCTCTTCTGGAGAAATCGATATCTCAGGCGCAAGATAAACTAGTAGACGCGTTGTTGCAGAAAAACTGTTTCCAAGTCTCCTGGAGATGGTAAACTATGAAACATTGACATGCATTGCTGCGGAAAAAGTGTTTGCTAGCCATGTTTCTCAAAGGTTGACAAAACCAGGGGATACCTGAGAAACATTTGTCCGTAGAAAAAATACTCTTTTGACTTACTCAGCAATTCCTTTCTGTAGCTGTTGAGCATCAGAAAGAAATTGTGATAAAAAATCATGAGATAAAAAATCATGTTCATTTACATAGACTTTACCTTTGATTTTCTCGGCTTCTAGACAATGTTTATTTTTAAAATTACTTCACCAATGAACTCATCAAATGGGTCGTTTTTTAAGCCATTTAAATAAACACTCGCATTCCTTGCCTTATCAGATATAAAACACTAGCGCACTACTGCTCGTGGACTTATTGGATGCTATAGCAATCATAGCTATAAATAATAAATTTGCAACTTTTAATATGTATGAGCTTTTCCTTATAACATATAAGTTAACGGGCTCTAAGCCCAAATATCGGATTCATGAAAACGAGTCTCCTTCCCCAAGCTGTGTACTTTTCGTAAAGGTGTATTCTAACTCTCCATTTTAAGTCTGACATAATGTCATAAGCAACCTCGTGCCCAGCCTCTTGCCACTACGCTCCTCGCTGGAGGAAGGGGCGTACTGGAAAGAGCCTGGGTACGAGGTTGCGTCATAAGATGCCATTCTCGTACCCAGAGCCCTTCTTACGCGCGCTCGACCGAGCGCGACGAGAGGCTCTGGCCAAATCCATAACCGGATACCATAAAAACATGGTAAGAAAACAATATCCGGTGTTAGAACTAGCCAATCAGATGCCAGTTCGGATATGGATTTGGCCAGAGCCCCTCGTCGCACCGCGCGTAAGAAGGGCTCTGGGTACGAGAATGATAAGATACCAGATGGCCAAATTCAAACATATTTTAACGCCGACATACATTTATGACAAGACAGATTCTTTTTAATTAAACTCAAATGAAAGAATTATACACATATTGTTATGGTTTACCAAGAAAAACTTGGCGTTTGTAGTTTAAAAAAGTCGCAGGCAAGCGGCTGTAAATGTCGACGACAGCTGGCACCCAGCTCCTTTTTAACGCAGTGTATACACATGCTAAACAACATAATCGATGCGTGTTAAAGTCCTTTTACAGTACGTACTCAAAATGCACACGTTTTATTGGACAAGCAGCAATTTAATAATATCTCTTCATCTCAGTTTAAGTGAGAAGCATTTGATCATATACCATAACATGTTAATTTGCGCAATATAAATATTAAATATTATTATTATTATTAGAAGCGGTATATAGGCATACAGTCCAAAACACAAAATGAAGTTGTATACGTTAATTAATGTAATACTCTTATGCGTTGTAAATGGTTTCTTCGCATTCGCTGGAATATTTCTCAATTCAGGGGTTATCATCAGTTTGTGGAAGTCTCCGCAACTTCGCAGAGGAAACTGTCACTTTATGATATTTGTGCTGTCGTGTTTTGATCTGCTTGTGATCATATTTTCACATCCAACCATAATACTGTTATCTATCCCAAGCTTTGAAGAAACCACTGTGTCACAATTAGGGACGATATTAACAGACATCTATACAACTTTACAAGCATTAGAGTTTTGTGTATTATTGTCAATGAGCCTCGATCGATATCTAGCGATAGTGCATCCTTTCTTTTATCAAGCCAGGATTACCAAAGGACGGATTGTTAAATTTATAATCTTTATTCAACTACCAACTCTCGCTACACCAATACTGCGTTACTTGTGTCGTGTATCACACATGCAGAATCTGATACACATATACGGAACAATTGGTGTGGCTCTTTTTTTCTGTATGGTATGTTACATGAACTACAAAATCTTTGTGATCGCTAGGAACAAACTGCGAGCCACACATGGCAGCACCATTGAATTCAAGAGTAACTCAACATGTGTATGGGTTATTGCGTGTTTTCTTATTTGCATCATTCCAGCTATTGCATACTATGCGCTCAAGTTCGGCGCGTCAAATGTTATACGAAATGAAACCTTTTGGACGACATTTCGACTTTGGTCATTTACAATGGCAACATTGAATTGCACATTCAATTCCGTCATTCTCTTCTGGAGAAATCGATTTCTCAGACGCAAGGTAAACTAGTAGATATTGCTGCAGAAATACTTTTGCCTGACCAACGGTCTCCTGGGGATGACAAACTATGAAACATTGGCATTGCTGCGGAAAAAGTGCTTGCTAGCCATGTTTCTTAAAGGTGGACAAAACCAGGGGATACTTTAGAAACATTTGTCCGTATAAGAGATACTCTTTTGACTTACTCAGCAATTCCTTTCTATAGCTGTTGAGCATCATAAATAAATTGTGATAAAGAATCATGTTCATTTACAAAGACTTTAGCCTTGATTTTCTCGGCTTAGACAATGTTTATTTTTAAAATTACTTCACCAATGAACTCATCGGATGGTTGTTTTTAAGCCATTTAAACACTCGCATTCCTTGCTTTATCAGATATAAAACACTAGCGCACTCCTGCTCGCGGACTTATTGGATGCTATAGCAATCATAGCTATAAATAATAAATTTGCAACTTTTAATACGTATGAGTTTTTCCTTGTAACATACAAGTTAATGGGCTCTAAACCCAATATCTGATTCACGAAAACGAGGCTCCATGGCCAAGACTGTGTACTTTCCAGAAGGGTGTATTCTAACACTCCATTTTAAGTTTGACAGAATGTCATTAGCAATGTCGTACCCAGGCTCTTTCCACTACGCTCATCGCTGGAGGGAGGAGCGTAGTGGAAAGAGCCTGGGTACGAGGTTGTGTCATAAGATGCCATTCTCGTACCCAGAGCTCTTCTTACGCGCGTTCGACCCAGTCCGAGCGCGACGAGGGGCGCTGGCATCCACGTTCCCAGGGCTTCTCGGCTGTGAAGCCCTAGGGAACGAGGATGGGGGCGCTGGCCAAATCCATAACCGGATACCATAAAAACATGGTAAGAAAACAATATCCGGTGTTAGAACTAGCCAATCAGATGCCAGTTCGGATATGGATTTGGCCAGAGCCCCTCGTCGCACCGCGCGTAAGAAGGGCTCTGGGTACGAGAATGATAAGATACCAGATGGCCAAATTCAAACATATTTTAACGCCGACATACATTTTATGACAAGACAGATTCTTTTTAATTAAACTCAAATGAAAGAGTTATACATATATTCTTATGGTTTACCAAGAAAAACTTGGCGTTTCTAGTTTAAAAAAGTCGCAGGCAAGCGCTGTAAAATGTCGGCGACAGCTGGCACCTGGCTCCTTTTTAACGCAGTATAAATACATGCTAAACAACATAATCGATGCGTGTTTAAGTCCTTTTACAGTACATACTCAAAGTGCACACGCTTTATTGGACGAGCAACAATTTAATATTTATTTTATTTTTTCAAACATCTCTTCATCTCAGTTTAAGTGTGAAGCGGTATAGGCATACAGTCCCAAACATAACATGGAGTTGTATATGTCAATTAATTTAATATTCTTATGTGTTGTAAATGGTTTCTTCACATTCGCTGGAATATTTCTCAATTCAAGGGTTATCATCAGTTTGTGGAAGTCTCCGCAACTTCGCAGAGGAAACTGTCACTTTATGATATTTGTGCTATCGTGTTTTGATCTGCTTGTGATCATATTTTCACATCCAACCATAATACTGTTATCTATCCCAAGCTTTGAAGAAACCACTGTGTCACAAATAGGAGATATTAAAAGAAATCTACTTAACTTTACAATTATTAGAGTTTTGTGTATTATTGTCAATGAGCCTCGATCGATATCTAGCGATAGCGCATCCTTTCTTTTATCAAGCCAAGATTACCAAAGGACGGATTGTTAAATTTATGATCTTTACACAACTAATATCTATCGTTGTACCATTAATGCGTCGTATCTCGGACAGGGAGAGGTTGATGTATATAATCAGAGCAATAATTATTGTTCTCATATTGTGTATGATATGTTTCATGAACTACAACATCTTTGTGATCGCTCGAGACAAAAGGCAAGCCACAAATGACAGCACCATTGAATTCAAGAGAAACTCAACATGTGTGTGGGTTATTGCGTGCTTTCTTATTTCCAGCATTCCACTTATTGCATGCGGTGCGCTCAAGTTCGGCGCGTCAAATGTTATACGAAATGAGAACTTTTGGACGATATTTCGACTTTGGTCATTTACAATAGCAACAACGAATTGCACATTCAATTGCATCATTCTCTTCTGGAGAAATCGATTTCTCAGGCGAAAGATAAACTAGTAGATATTGTTGCAGAAACACTGTTTCCAAGTCTCCTGGAGATGGCAAACTATGAAACACTGGCATTGCTGCGGAAAAAGTGTTTGCTAGCCATGTTTCTCAAAGGTGGACAAAACCATGCAGGGGGTACTTGAGAAACATTTGTAAATAGAAAAAATACTTTTTTGACTTACTCAGCAATTCCTTTCTGTAGCTGTTGAGCGAAATCTTCCATGATTTCAAGTTTCGCTTCGGACAAACATCTGGAGTAGATTTTGTCTTTTAGATCTTTCGGAATATTGGACTGGAAAAAAATAAAAATAGGCTTTAAGGATGAGGATGAAACGAGGATGAGAGTGCACGAGAGGTTGTCCGTCACGCGACCTTGGTTAGCTGTTCTTAATGCTTTCCCAACACTATCATGTATTCTATTGAAGTTAAAACATAGTTGGAATACTCATCAAACATTTATTTTGTTAATCTAGAGCTTGAAATATCCCCTGGAACAATGCGCGACGCCAACTCTCATCCTCGTTCGACTGGGCACATATATATCAACTTGGTTAAAATTTTCCGTATAAACTAACAATTTTTGAAGTTCTTAGTTGTTTCACGCTGCAGCTCAAAAGTAAACTACAGTATAGGGCGCTGCCGCCAAACGACCAGAGCACAGTTAAGCGTTCAAATCTTTTTCAGATAATTCAAATATATATGGTGATTTTCAAAGGGCCGTGCGGAAAATACGTACATTATAAGAAGAGAATAGACTTATTACTAATAAACTAAATTACACTTATTTACAATATTTGAATATAAAAAGAATTAAGGTTTATAGAAGCTGGTGTAGATGTATACATGATCATTTGATAGATTATGGACAATTTTTAAACTTGTCGATTCTCTTAGGATTTTCAACAAGTTTATTTGGGATGTTGGGAATTTTGTTGTTGGGAAGGCTACCAAAACAACGAATATAGCTGGAACATTTGAACAGATCACTGAATCATTTGTATATTATGTTAAACGTAAAGGACTCCTCAACTGAGGCAAAATTATATTCATTATATAATCTCAATTCAGGAATCAAACCCCGCTCGCAAATGCGAAAGTCAACCTTTCCTTTTTTTCTAAAAACGAAATTTCAGCACCTACGTACCCTCAACATGGGAGTTTCGCTTCTCCTCGTGTTGGGTTGAATGAAACCAATGCCAGCATCATACATGAATTTTCTCAGCGTGTATGGCTCCTGGGGAACAGCCTAAAAACACAATATTTTACACACAGCTGAAAAAGGTTCAATGCATGGGATCACAATGTACGGAGAGTATGGCTCAGAAAGGTTCAATGGGATCAGAATGTTATACATGCAGTAGGTGTAAAGGTTTCACTAAGCAGTATCGTGCAGCAGACACACCGGACGCAATTCGACAACGCGACGCGAGTTTTTTAGTTTTTGAAAGTTGATAAAACAGCCAATGAGAGCAAATTTTGAAAGTTATGTAGACCAAGTAACTCAAAATGTTATAGCGCTTCGAAATATTTGGAAAATTTAAACTAGGATCAAAGTTATCGGTCAGTGAAAATCGAAAAATCGCGTCGCGTTGTCGAATCGCGTCCGGTGTGTCTGGACCTTAAGAGTGAGAAAATTAAATACATGCACGTATGTTAATTCTTTTCATTGTATGTATACAACGTATGGCAAACAAAGTTAATATTCTTATAAGCCACAGTATCACGCAATATTCCGAAGTTGATCGCCATCTGCTTCCCTGTAAAGGGAAGAAAATTTTCCACTCAAGAAATTTTCCGCGGAAAGAAAAATTTATAAAACGTGATTGTAGTAATGATTGTAGTAACCGATATCCTCCATATCAGTGTATCGGCTTAATGGCTTATCGGTACCAAAATAGAAATACCGGTATCGGTAATTTGATGATGCCATCTTTGAATTTTGTAAAATGATATGGAATATCGGTGTAGGCAAAATATCGGTCCTTCAATATCGGTTATCGATGAATTTCCATATCGGCGCATCACTACGTGATTGGCCGACACAAATTTGTTGAAATTTTCAACTTTTTACAATGATATTTTCGAAAAATTTTCTGTCCGTGAAAATTTTTTCCCGTGAAAATTTTTTCCTGAGTCAGGAAATGGACCTTAACGCTCAATACTAATAAACCTACCAATTATTAAGCTGGCCTACCTCACGTGGTTTCTCCTCAGGAATGCTTTCTTTCTTGCATTCAGGTATTCTAAATAATATAAAAGAAAATACTCAATCCTGACTAGAAACTGAGAGCAATTCAACATGGCGGCAGGTGTATATACTCTTTATTTCCAAAGACAAATTACAGCGCAACTTTCAAATTGTTTCTGTCGCCTTTAAATTAAATTATTCCTACAAAGAGTTAAAATAGTTTGTCAACAATTACTGTTAATAATAATTTCATTTTGTAAGAAATGTACTACATAGAGGCTTAAGAAACTGGTATAATATACGTTCCAATGATGGTAATACGAGTACATACTCTGTTTCAATATGCTCAGTCTTTGCTATTGTGTCACTCGGGTCTGGTTCAATTGACTTTGTAAACAAGTTCACCACAGTCGTGGAAACTGCATTCTCTTGTTCATCAATGACAACCGTTGGCGATGTTTTCATTTCTAGAAGGATAAAGACCGATTTCATTACACAAATTTTGCCCAAAACTATCACATGCAACCTGCTTACAACTTGAGTTGTACTGTGTAAATCAAGCACACAACTCGCCTATATGTTGGTTGTGATGTTACTCCGAGTGTGTATCCACACCAGGCAAGCCCGAAAAATATGCCTGGCCAGGCTGGGAATCGAACCCACAACCTTTGGAACACTAGCCCAATGCTCTCCCAACTGAGCTACGCGGTCAGGTCGGCCCGAGTATGCGATATTTCGGAACCGAATCCAGTTCCTTCGATGATCAATGTAATCTAATAATCATGATTCGTATTCACCTGAGTACAATTACACCAACACAGGAAAATCGCCTATGTTGTCGTGCCCTGGAAAACACCTCAATCAATTTCCAAAACCCGTATACGAACACTGATTAAGTTTGTTTATCGTTGATCTCCTAATGTCATGTACCATTACCTTCCTGTTTGTGTTTGCCAACATCGACGACATGCGATAGTTGCCCGCTGGTGCTGGTCACATCTTGAGCACATGAACTCGGCGCTTTGCTATCAACGTTTAAATCATCTTGCAGTAGTTTGGAAGGTTTCTCTTCAGATTTTATAGCTGGATGCTTTTTTTGAGATTTGAAGACAGGGATTTTGCTAGTTCTTGAAATTGGCATCTTTATCTGAAATTTCAAAAGATAACGGTTAGTACGTTCCGGAGGGCATAAAAAAAGAATTTTCTTCCTGGGAGCACAACCTGGAGACAAAAATTTCCTGCAGACCAACGGAGTATTTTTGTGCTAAATCTGCACGTGTATAAACATATAGTGTTCTAGCTGACCATGGTTTTAAATTCAAGGAATAATGTCTGTCAAACATATGTTGTTGCGCCCATAGTGGGACCTGGGTGTGAAGGTTTCCTTCAAATTTACAATGGCAGATCTTCATTCAAACAAAGTTCCTGCAGCTGTTTAACATTTCCTGCGAGCAGTGCTAGCCTATTTTTCCACCCCTGACGTTCCGCCGCTTCTATATCTTCGTTTTTAGCTTACATATTCATAAATAAACACATGTTTTCACAGGTGGGTCGACCTCGTCCCTACACTCACCTCAAATCGTTGAAAGTTCTTGTCCATGGTAATTTTCGACGACGTCGCGCGTGGTACAGCCTTCACCAAGCTTGTTTGATTCTCTGATATCTCCAGATGCCTTTTAGTGTTCATCATAGAAGATTGATTTCCTGACATGTCGATAAACCTTGAGACATTCATCGTAGATTTCTGCGTTTCTGATACTTCACGTCTCGCCACCTTGGGCGTTTCATTCCCTGCAATTTCCACGTGTCTTGAAGCATTCACCATTGACTTGGCAGATGTCTGATTTTCTGTAATTTTTAGCCGTCTTGAGACATTCATCAAAGATGTTTGATTTCCTGACAATTCTTCAACTCTTGAAGCATTCGCCATTGGCTTAGTAGATGTCTGATTTTCTGTCATTTTTAGCTGTCTTGAGAGACTCAAAGATGTTTGATTTCCTGAGAATTCTTCAAGTCTCGAAGCGTTCACCATGATTGACATAGATGTCTGACTTGCAGGCATGTCTACATCTCTCAAAGCATTGATCTTCTCGCTAGCTGTACGGTCAAGATCGTCTCCAAGACGATTGGCTGAAACATCTGATATTTTCTCAGACACCTTGGAAGTTAACAAAAAAATCTCTAAATACTCGAACTACCGACATAGTGAAATAGTTTTCACTGCATGGGAGCCACCGCCCCTCAATTTGTTAAAAAAAAACTTGGTTAACTAACTGAGCTATTACAATTATAATGTATTTTCAAAACTCAGTCAGACTGTAATCTATATTACCGGAAAGAAAGCCTTATACTTGTGTTTATTTCACTTTCAATTCTAAAATACAGTTTTCAAACCTTTTGAACAAAATTGTTGGCATTCATTGGCGTCCGGGATTCCATCGATTTTTCTTGTTCCCAATTTTCATAATTTCTCGTCATTTCCATTTGATTTCCTGCAACGCCTTCATCGACAGTTTCACACTGAGAAATTTCTATGTGTCCAGCTTGGCAACGAGTAAACTCCAAATTATCACCTTTTTCTGGCGAACGCTGCAAAGTAATAGGACAGCTTATTTAATGTCGAACCCGGGACGCGAGACTAAGACGAAGTGAGCGCGCAACGAGAATTTAGTAGTCTCTTTCGCCGTTTCGCTTATTTTGAAAATGCAGTCTTACAATCACTGTTCAACACATGTGTGTACTATCAGTACTATTGCCCTAAAATTCAGGTTCGAAAATATTTGGTGTTTACAGTACATTCATCCCGCTTCAGCTGGGTCTGAAGACGGTCGATTCTCTGTCAACCCAAGAGCAGTCTGGGCAACTTTTCCACCCAGATTTCACGATGTAACATAGGCCATATAGGAACAACTCTATATGACCATCACGAAATCGTCCTGCTGCGATTTCGTCCATGTTTTATGAAAACAGGCCCATCTCAACGAGTACCTTGTTTCTGGAACGGAAAGTGCTGTCATTTCGTGACGCTGGAATCATATGTGATTTTTCCTCTTCCCAATTTTCATAATTTCTCGTCATTTCCATTTGATTTTCTACAACATCTTCACGCACAGTTCCAGACTGAGAAATTTCTATGCGTCCAGCTTCGCAACGAGTAAATTCTAAATTATCATCTTTCTCTAGTGAGTGCTGTAAATAACGAAATAGAACGACTGAGTAAAATCTGTTTTTCATTTCAACCCTATCATAACGTGTATATAGACTCATAATTGCATATGACGTCACAGCGCCGGTGACGATGCATCTGGAGGACATATTAGCAATCTATGCATAATATATAACCTTTGTAAACAAAGCAAATTTTGTAAAAGTTTATAATAATTTTGTATTAAAATGGTTAATTTTGCGCTGTATGTGGTTGTTGTACCCGAACAGATATTGTTAGGGAGCATCTGAAGGACACTCTAAGGATTTGTGACGTCAGTGTTCAGCAGAAATTTCTCCTTGCAATATTCAACTGAGAAATGTGGATAGAAACTAATTCTAAAATGTACCTTTTTTATGAAACGCAAATTGTTGTCATTTCTTGGTGTCTTCAATTGCACTGAATTCATATTGGGTTTCTCCTGTTCCCAATTTCTCTGTGTCTTCAATTGCACTGAATTCATATTGGGTTTCTCCTGTTCCCAATTTTCATAATTCCTTGTCATTTCCATATTTACTGTGATATCCTCGTCAACAATTTGAAATTGTGCAGTTTCTATGTTTCCAGCATGACAACGGGTGAATTCTAAATTGTCATCTTTCTCTGGGGAACGCTGTGAAGAATAGTGAAAACTTATCTACATGAGCAATAGACAACTTGCATGTTAGACTAATTTTTGATCTAGGCAAAAAAAAGTAAATTCCCGTAAAGAACTTATTATAATTAGTAAAATTGCAAAATTTGGTTACGAAATGTTGTAAAATACGGAAAATATAGCCTTCCGAAATTTGCATATTTTGTATATGTTTGTATTACGTGCGGGAATTGTTACCATTTGTGAGCCGAAAACGGTAACAATTTCCCCACGTAATACAAACATATATACAAAATTTGCAAGACTATATTTTCCACGCTTTACAACATTTCGCAACCAAATACTGCAATTTTACTAATTTGAATAATTTCATTATGTTATTTTTAGCTGTGGTGTTTGATTCCTTTCTCTTTACTTAGATTAAAATTTAGACTAACATGCAAGTTGTCCATTAAAGTGTAAGAGATATCAGCGCTGGCGATGTGTAACACGTAACTGTCCTATGGAGGGCTACTTTTGAAAAACAACAATTTCAGACGGCCACTTCGACGGTCTAAGTAAAATATTTTTGTTAAATGGCAACATACAAACGTTGTTGTATTTCTTGAATACTACGAAAGTTGTTAACTGCCGTTTGCCGAGTAATTTATTTTCAAGCGCTGTCGTTTTTTTACCACCACCACGAGAATTGGTGAAAGCACCCACGGTACTTTTTGGACGGCCAAGTTTGTCGTTCTAACTAAAGGGCCTAGGCCTGGTTCAGTATATACCAATCTACATGGAACCTTAAGACCCATTTCTACTCAAGAAAAATTCCCACGGACAGAAAATTTTCCGAAAATATCATTGTTAAAAGTTGAAAATTTTCATCTTCAAATTTTTTTTTCCGACGGAAAATTTGTGAAGCCCAATCACATTCTACAAAAATTTCTTTCTGCGAAAAATTTTCCTGAGTGGAAATGGGCATCCAGCTCAGCACTGAACTCAATATGTATCATACCTTATGGCTGATGTCATTTCTTTGTAGCGGAACCATATACGTCTGTTGTTGCTCCCAATTTTGATAGTTTCTTGTCATTTCCATTTGATTCGCTGTCCTATCTGCATCATCATAATGTTGGTAAGGAAATGCTTCGATGTTACCACCATGACATCGGGTGAAGTCCAAATCGTTGTTCTTCTGTAGTGAACGCTGGAAAGTACATTGAGACGATCAAGATATAAGTAAAGTAATATCATAGCTATGCCTCGAAATCCTTTGTTTCGCGAGAGACGATTAATGACTAATTGACCTCATTGCTAAAACATGAGGGACGATTAGAAACTAATCATCCCACGTGACGATTAGTTACTAATCGTCCCTCATCTTTATGCTTAATCTCATATATTGACGTTCAATTAAATATTTAACAGACATGAAAAATCAACCGTAACTTCATTAACGAACATCTCATGCAATAGTCATTAGTATCAAAATACAAGTGGTGAAATGTCCCTCAAGTCTCGAGAGGTTTAGTATATCGCCTTGATGAAAATGTTCTTAATCTTAAAGGTGATGTAAAGTCCGTTCTGCGCAGGCCTACATTCCAAGGATCGGGACCCGACCATTGGGATGTTGTTAATATTTCGCACCTATCCAACTTTCCTGAATTGAATCTCTAGTCTGTATTCATTTACAAGCATATAGCGAACCAGGAAGGTTAAAAATGGAAATTGGAAATATGCAAGCTCCATCACGTCATAATTTCCTTCATTTTCTTCAGATAATTACCTGACCGCCTAAACTACGATTGTTCTTGGCTGCTGCAGGAGTAGCAGACTCCATCCAGTTACCATAGTTTGCAGTCATCTCCATTTCGTCAGACGTGACATCGTCATTACCATCGCTTGTTTTTAACCTGGCTCCCTGAATACCATTACCAACACATTGCGTGAAATCGAGATTATCTCCTTTCCTCTGTGAATGCCAAAAACAAACCGTATAAAGGAGAAACGCTAAGGACTTGTTAATCATATGTACAGTATTAAGAGAGATTATTTACCATCATTGTGCTGTGTAAATTTGACTGAGGAAATGAAGGGTCGTTGTTTGAAACTCTCTGCTGGTAACTGCTAGTAGCTTGGAGTTGGCTCAGGAATGACGATTGATCTATTTTGGGAGATTGTGCAAGTCTTGTTCTTGGAAACGTGTCCTAAACCAAGGAAAACAATACATTGTCAACGCTTCAACGCTTCTCCGGCCTTAACAGTTGGCGACGCTGCAATATACAAATACTTTATGGTTTCCGTGTTTGGATGGCCTGATCCAAACACGCGGGAATGTTGCGAGAGTTAAGAAAAGCGCGCGAAACACGAGCCGAAGGCGAGTGATTTTGCGCGCTTTTCTTAAATCGAGTAACATTCCCAAGTGTTTGAATCAGGCCATCAAAACACGAGAACCATAAAGTAATTGTTTTATAAAATAACAACAAAGTTTAAAATTCCCGCGAAGGCACTTTAAATTTCTGTGTTTGGATGGCCTGATCCAAACACCCGTGGGTTACAATGTTTATTTTTAAAATTACTTCGCCAATGAATTCATAAGATGGGTCATTTTTTAAGTACGATAAAACATTCGCATCCAATCTGTATCTGATATACTACTCTCGCCTTCGGCTCGAGTTTGTATATCAGATACAGATCGGCTGCTCATGTTTTAACTAGTACTTAAAAAAGTTCATTTATTCATGAGGAAAAGACATAGGAAATCACTACCGTGTCTGTGGTTTGATGTGATAAAAAATCATGTAAATTACATAAACTTTAGCCTTGATTTTCTCGGCTTAGACAACGTTGATTTTTAAAATTACTTCGCCAATGAACTCACGCGTTTTTAAGCCATTCAAAACACAAGCAGTCCTGTGCTTGACCAGCAGATATAAGATATATCTGATAAAGCACTCTTGCTCGTGTTTTAAATAGTACGAACTATTTTCTGACCTTGCCTCGCAAAACATGACTTTCAGTAACGCCAACGGCAATGCGCTTACCGTTATGGGAAATGTTGTTGAATGTGCTTCAGTATGGGAAGGATTACTGATCGTGTCTCTCTGCTGCTGTGGTTGGAAACTGGCATTGTTGGAAGTTCTCAGTTGGTTTAAAAATGAACTCCCGTCTAGTTTCGGACATTGTACATTTCTTGACGTTTGAAATGTGTCATAACTGTTCCTTCTTTCAAAATTCTCACTCGAGGCGTTGACCTTAAGTTGGTCCAAGAAACTCGATGCGTTCAATTTTTGCATCTGCCCATGATTCGAGATTGCAACCTAAAACATCGACAGTAAGAATTTATGTCATATTTTGATATTTGCGATTTAAGAAATAAACTTAATGTGATGTGAGGTTTTAGCATAATTTTATTCAAGTGGGGGTCAATCACTGAACTGAGGTCAAGTAAAATGAAACAAAATGACATCAACGCATCTTATGTAAATTACTTCTCCGACTATTATTAAAGCCAATATAAAGCAATATAAAATCCATCCTTTGCCCTAGACACAGACCATTGACCATCACGTGATGTCATATGAAACCAGAGAATAGACCCATTGCACTGACGTCACAAATCCTCCAGATGTCCTCCAGATGCTCCCTAACAATATCTGTTCGGGTACAACAACCACATACAGCGCGAAAATTAACCATTTTAATACAAAATTATTATAAAGTTTTACAAAATTTGCTTTGTTTACAAAAGTTATATTATGCATAGATTGCTAATTTGTCCTCCAGA